ATTCAAAACACTCGGGAACGTTGTAACCACGCCCTTACTTTGCCTCCTGGAATCTGGCTATAAAATACAGAGGCTTTCAGGCTGTGGTGCTGTCGCTAGCTCTCCATCAGAGAGGACAGCATCCCACCCAGACCCAGCTTTCTTCTCTTGTCTGTCTTTTCTCAATCCCTCACCGCCCCCTCTCAGGCTCACCAAACCTGGCTGAGCGGGCACGGCACAGTTAATGAGAAAGGAGACTGGCGTGTTTCATGGGTTGAGGGCTGCATCCAGGGTGCCAGAACTCCTGGCCCTGCTCCATGCCACACTTCTACCACCAGAGAGAGCCCTCAGCAGAGTTGCAGGTTCTTTCAGCAAGAAGCCAGGGGCTGAATGCTGAGGGACTGCATCGAGTGTCTGCAACCCACCTGCAAATCCAGCTGTGACAGTCACACAGAGGAGAACATTATTTCAAGGTTCATTGAGTCTACAATTTTAGTAAATTAATCCAACTACAATAGAGCCACTAAGAAATCCTAAATTTCAATCAGTAATCTCATTATTGGTAGTAATGTTGGTATTTATCTTTTGAAATTGTATAGTGGGGGTTAAAGCTCATAACTAATGTTAATGTTAAAAATAATTATTTTTAAGAAAGAAAATGTTCAAAAACAGGTGAAAACCTTGTAATACTAATTTTGGCACAGAAATAAGTGTCAACTCATCCTTTTCTTTGTTCTTTTAAAAAATACACATTTCCTAGCTCTGCCCTAGTAACAGTGGACACCCCAAGCACCTGGATTGTGACCTGCATATCATATGTAATACTTTCAATAATATTTTTTTTAAAAGGAGGTCATTGAAAACGGGTAGAAAGGCAACTGACTACCTCAGGAGGATTCATTCAAACCAGCAGATGTAATGAGAAAGTATATGCCAGAGCATTTTGTAAACTAAGGAAGCTTTAGTACAGGCTTTGGAGCAACATTTAAATGTTAGGACAATGAATTAAAAGCTAGTACAGGTAACCATGGAAACAGGAAAGGATAACAGGGCCAATTAGATTTCAAAGAAATAATGGGTGATTTCCTTGTGTCTGCCTGCTACTTCTAAACCAGAAACCTTCAAACTACTTTCATGAGTATTCTGAGACCAAGAAAATCACCAGCAAGTGGGTATGTAAGTTTCTATGAGACTCCACTAATTAAGGAGCCATGGGACAATATTTCACACTGGAAATGTTTGTAAAATGTGTTCACAGTTTCTAAATGAACTCATCTGTGCTAGGGGGGGGTGACAAACCAGAGAACTAAATATATATATATATAATATAATGAAAATAGAATATTGTCCAAAGAGATGATGTGGATAATTTATAATATGGATTAAAAGAAACAAAAAGGTAAGACATATAGTAAAATATTCAGACTTGCACTTTCCATAGCAATAGCCATAGCCACATGCCTATTTACATTTAAGTTCATTAAAATTAAATATTTAAAATTAAGTTCCCAGGCTACCTTGATCCATTTCAAGTGCTCAGTAGCCATATGTGCCGAGTAGCTGCTATATTGGACAGCATATACAAAACAATTCCATCATTGCAGACAGTTCTATCAGCCACTGCTAATGTATACATTTGATAGTATCTAAGAAAATAGCATATATTTGATAAATTGGCTACTTCAGTAAGAAGCCTGACAAAAATTGGTAGGGTATTCCTTTCCTCTTGAATTCTGACAAAGCAAAACAAAGGAGAAGGCTGGGTGTGGTGGACTCTGTCTCCTAGAATTTTACACCAGAGGCTGTAAAAGGGGGAAAGACTGAAAAAGAAAAGTTATTCATTGTGCAAATGTCACAGTGCAACTGATAAGAAAAGACATAATCTGTGAAGGTAAGATACATACAAAATTTGGTCATCCGCTGGTTTAACATATTTATAGAGAACTTACTGTATGCCAAAGACAGAAGGAACAAGAGGGTGGACTGTGGAAAGTTAAGAATTCCAACATCCAGATAAAGCCAATGTTCAGAAAAATTCTAAGAATAATAAAAGAGGCATTTCCCCAATTAACTCAGAGAAATTAGACCAAAAGGAAAGCCTGGCCTGAGATTTGATACATTGTGTGACAACGTTAGTGTCGGGAAGAAAGCAGTGTTGTCTTTCAGTTTATTTGCTCCTCCATCCAGGAGCACCATCTAAATGGAAAGCTTAGACCAGACCTGGTTAGGAGGGAATTGAATCCTGAGATAGGCAAGGAGATAGTGGCAAGTGCATCAATACTTTAAGTGACTGAGTCGGGAGGACCAGGGGCAGATGATCTGCCTCTTTCTATTGGGAGAAGGTGGTCATTGTTGGTGCTGTCTGTACATCTTTGTGGTGTGGTGACAGGACCCCAGGCAACACCTCTCAGTGATGGCAAAGGTCCATGGTCAGGCCCTTAAGGCATGGTTGTGCCGAGCAGTGCACACAGGGGTGCAACCCACATGTAGCGCTCAGACTTAGCCTCTCAGAGCCAGGGGCTCTTGGAGATCAGGGCTTCGGTGATGGGAGGGACTGGGGCTGCCTGGTTTGCAAGTGCACCAGGCTAGTCCGGTGAATATATATGGGGCAGGGGTGACTTTTATAGAAACCTTTATTTCCTAGTACTGTCCCTTTTAAGAGTCAGTCTTGCCACCACTGAGGTAATGCAGGAAGAGAAGGCAGAATCAGTTGCCTGTTTGACCTTAGGCCAGCCATAGTTTTCTCAGTAAAATGTGGACCTTGGTACTACAAGGTACTGGTATGAGGATTACATAAAGCAGCGAACACTAGGGTAGATTCTAGCTCAGCGGTTCTCAATCTGTGGGTTGTGACCCCTTTGGCGGTCGAACGACCCTTTCACAGGGGTCGCCTAACACCATCCTGTATATCAGATATTTACATTACGATTCAAAACAGTAGCAACATTACAGTTATGAAGTAGCAACAAAAATAATTTTATGGTTGGGTCACAACATGAAGAACTGTATTTAAAGGGCCAGAAGGTTGAGAACCACTGAATCTAGCTCATTGTAAGCTTCCAGTAAGTGGTTCTTACCACAAACGAATCGTTTCCCACCCGTAGAACTAAACAGAAAGTAGAATGGGGTCCTTCTAAGCCCCACTGATGGTGTTGGCTGTGCCAATCCAGCCTGGAGACTTGGCCAAGGGTTGGTGGAGCCAGTGACGCTGGAGAGAGGGAGGCAGGGGCCCTCTGCAGCCGCCCAGACGTTTCTTGCTGAAGTTTCCCCATGTATACTGTACCGGAGCACTTACAAACTGGACTGGAAAGTCAAAGGTAGGCCTATTCCACAAGTGATGTGAATGTGAGAAAACCAGAAACCACTTAATTCACTGAATCAGAAAAAATCCACACTGTTGAAGAGTTTTGAGGCTTAATACCTTCAGTGGTTCTCAACCTTCTGGCCCTTTAAACACAGTTCTTCATGTTGTGACCCAACCATAGTTATTTTCGTTGCTACTTCATAACTGTAATGTTGCTACTGTTATGAATCGTAATGTAAATATCTGATATGCAGGATGGTCTTAGGCGACCGCTGTGAAAGGGTCATTCGACCGCCAAAGGGGTCGCGACCCACAGGTTGAGAACCGCTGCCTTAGGTGACTGCCAAAGGCACACAATATCCTAATTTCTTTGTAGGATTTGAAGGAACTCTCCAGCGTGTAGCCTTGTGTTAAGTGGGCCAGAGGGTAACAGTTAGGAGAATGAGCTGCAGCTGTGCCCAGGGTGCTGAATAATGGATTCCTGTCCACAGGGAGCAAAGTCTCAGGTGCCTCCGATAAAGCGCCACGTCCTTGGCTCCTGGTCCTTCCGCGCTCTGGTAAGAAATGCTCCCCAGCTCTGAGGATGAAACAAGTCAGCCATCACTGAGTCAAGAATTTAAAAACCTGCGAAGCTGGAAGTCTATGGAAGCACTGGAACGAATTCAGAGTCCGGACCTGGGTGGGAGGGGCGAGGCTGGCGCACAGATCCGGGACGCGAGTGCCCTTAAGCGGGGACCTCGCTAAAAATGCTCCGAGTGGTACCACCGTCCAGTTGAGGTCGGTGTCAATTACCGGGAGAAGGGGAGAAGCCCGGACGGGAGCGTGAGGGTTCCCGGGTACGCAGGCACTGGAGAGCCGCTGGTGAGGCCCTGGAAGAGCGCACGGTGACCCGACCTGAGGAAGCGGGCGGGGACAGGGACTGGAAAACCCTGAGAAGCGCAAGTGTATCCCACACACGTTCTCCCCTCGATATCCTACGCTTTCATGCCTTTTTTGGATGCAGGAATTAAACGTGCCCGAGTGGAGCCCCTTCCTTTCCTCATGTGCGCTCTGCCAGGCTGACGGAAGCGGTACCCAGAGGCCGCTGGCCCCTCGAGCGACTTGACTCTGGCGTTGCCTGGCAACGGGGCCGCGAATGGATTGGCAGCGTCAGGCCCCGTGACCTTCCCGGAGACTCGCACTTCCTGTTTCCCCCAGAAGTGACGTAACTGTACGCCACGCCTCCAGCAGAGGCGGAAGTGGAGCTACCCCGAGGCGTTCCGTGTCGCCTCTGACTCCCCATTCTAGCCGCACCCCTGGGCCCATGGCCGCTTACCCCTACCGCCCAGGCCCCGGGACCGGCCCAAGCCCCGGCCCACCCGTGGGCGCGGCGCTGCCGGACCAGAGCTTCCCGTGGAACGTCTTCCAGAGGTGAGATCGGGCGCGCGGGCGCTTACGGGACTCCGCCGGTTTCCGCTCCTCTTCCCGGCCTCCTGCCCCATCCCCCCCGCCCGACTGCACTCGGGCCACCCCCGGCCTCTCCGCAGTCTCCTGCTCCCTTTTCCACCTTCTCTTCCCCGTGTCTCCCGGTCTCTGTTCCGCCTCCCCCAGCCTTCCCCTGGCCTCCTGCCCCATTCTTCCCCCACTCCCCCCCCGCTAACTTTTCCCGAGGCCTCCGCTCTGTTCACTCCCCTCCGGTCCCACGCCCTGTGTCCCATTTTGTCTCTGGGCTTCTCCCTCGCCGCAGGCCCCTCCTTCGCACCGGCCCCTCCCGAGGTGTGGCTCAGGCCCTCCGTGGACTTCCCTGGAGCTCTGCCTTCACCCCCTACCCCCTAACAGCCGAGTGCCCGCAGTTGAAAGGCGGGTTCTTGCTCGTCCGGGACAGTCTCCTGGCGATGCTAGTTTTAGATAAACAGAAACAAGACTCTGCTCCAGCGCTATTAAAATGCCAGCAGTCAGGAAAGAAGCTGGAGCGTGATGGCCGCCGGGACAGGTGATCTTTTACCTGGGCTCTGGACCATGGCCGTCCTTCCGGTGAATGAATGAGGAAAAGTGAGTGACTCATTGTCACGGAATGACTTGATTGAGAGAAAGGAACAAGAGAGAAACTGGTGCAGGCATAACTCAGGTCAAGGGATAATCAAAGAGAAAGACCCAGGAAAGGAAAACGAGAGTGAAAAAACGACTAGGCCACTCTGGGGAGAACCGACGTGGGCTGGAGCAGGTGGGGTGAAGGAGCTCCAGAGACTACTTAATCCCCAGCAGAACAAAGTGGGAGGAAGGAACACGCCAGAATTAATGCAGGATGGCCAGTGGGGTTAAACGTTGGTGCTTGCCATGATGTGCTTCTCATACACTGTTCATCACCAGCTGAATTGGTCTTCATTTTGTAGGGTTGATAAAGACAGAAGCGGGGTGATATCCGACAATGAGCTTCAGCAAGCACTCTCCAATGGTGAGTGGGACCTGGCCACCAGCACTTCTGCACTGCAAGCCTGACACCTAACTGTTATTACTGGCACGTGGTGGAGGTGCTTCTGATTTATTTTGTCAAGCGGTTTCTTGGTTGTTGTCAGTGCCACTCCAAATGCCTTTCGGAACGACTGTGTGGATGAGCAGAGGGAAACACTGGCTGAGAAACGCGGGGTGGAGGGTAGGTTTTTGGGAGGGATAGGAAGTTTAGCTTTCTACAGGTATCCTTCAGGTGTCTTGAAGATCATTGAATTTCTTAGGTAATCTTTTCGACCCTCCTGGAGAGGATTACAAAGGTTCCAGAGGCCACCGGACTGTGGGGAGGTGGTCTTGTCAGTGGCAGAATTATAGGCATTCAGCTAGGGATGAGGGTTACAGTCCTTGTGGGTGGTGTGTTGCCAGCTCTCCATGGAGTTGAGTTCTTGCCCATTTCAACTTGATTAATTGGGGAAGTACTATTAGCGTTACACTAGCCCAGGAGAAGACAGAGCACTGAAAACCAGCAGGCTACAGTCCGGCAAATCCTGGGTTAAAACTTCCTGAGTGTTGACCAAAACGGGTGATTTCTTCACCTCATATGTTAATTGTGATCAGATGTTACAGATGTTGTCCACCACAGTGAGAGTGCCCTACTGGCTAAGGCTTTTCTTTTGAGCTTTTTTGCAGTGAGTGAGGACTGATTTGTGATCTATTTGGACATCTCCTTTTGTTCATTTGCTATAAGTTTTGAGAGTGTGGCCCAGGTTTGTGTGAAATCTGTTTAGTTGAGAGTGATGGTCAGATACTCTAAATTGCTGGAAGGGGTGGGCTCGGTGGCATCACGGGGTCAGCCTGCTTGGATTCAAGTCCTGGCTTTACCAGTTCTAGGAATGTGGCCTTGAGCAAGGACTTGACCTTTCTGGATCTGTGTCCCACAGTTAATGGGCCGGTAAATCAAGAAAATGCATGCAGAACGCTGGTGTGAGCCTGGCACAAAGCAAGCCTCCGTGTTGTTGCTGGGATGGGGAATAGTGGTGTTACTGCCACTGTTACTGGCCAAAGAGCCAGCTGGAGCCTTTGATGGCTTTTCTTTTCCTAATGACTGTGATGATGATGGGTATCACCTACTGAACATCCACTGCATGTGGGCACAGCGCTGGTGCACAGCAGGGCTGCCGCTCACATTCCATCTCAGGTTTACTGCTCAGTCAGGCCCTCACTGAGCTGGTGCTGTCCCACCATCTCTCCATGTAGGTGACCACCGAATGCTTCTAGTGCCTCGAGTCCTTGCTCCTTCTGTTTAGAGTGCCGGCCTCTCCTGGCTGAGGTGGACTCCACCCATCCCACCATCTTCAAACCCCTTTCCTCCCACATCAGTGGGTGCCCCCTTTGAACAGCATTTCTTTTTCTTTGATGTGTTCCTTTCTCTCCTGCTCCTATAAACACTTTTGTAGCTGTCTCCTAAATGAGGGCCAGTGGGTTACTGGGTAGACAACGGCGGTTCTTTTCACCCCTCCTTGAGTTCCTGTAGCTGATACAATAGAAGTTATTTTCAGTTTTGATTTTTCTCCCAGGAATGGGCTTTTTTTTTTTAATATATATATTTTATTGATTTTTTTTTTTTTACAGAGGAAAGGAGAGGAATAGAGAGTTAGAAACATCGATGAGTGAGAAACATCAATCAGCTGCCTCCTGCAAACCCCCTATTGGGGATGTGCCCACAACCAAGGTACATGCCCTTGACCTGAATCGAACCTGGGACCCTTTGGTCCGCAGGCCAACGCTCTATCCACTGAGCCAAACTGGTTAGGGCAGGAATGGGGTTTTGTTTTCATATTAGAACTGGACTTTGGGCTATTTCAGAAAATCATTTTTATTTATTGCTGGTGGGAAACAAATTACAGAACAGCATAGCCTCTCACTTTAGTTAGACCTGTGGTTTGGCATGCTCTCTGTTAAAGTCGAGCTGAAACCACCTTGGAAAAGGGCTTTTGTAGGTCCCACACACTGAGTCCTTTGTACAAAAGCCTCCAAAAATGACTGCTCTCAGGACGTGTGTGGTCAGTGGGTTTGAAGAGAGAGAAGGCTGTTCTTGTGCCTTCGTTTTAAAATAACCTTTCACAAACTATCTTGACTTTTACGTGTTTTTTTAAAATTTTCTCTAGTCCCTTTTTTGTGCTTTAAGGTTTGCTTTAACATAAGATATTGATGTTTTTTGAGGAGGCATTTTTAGCTATGCTATAAAAAATAGTAATTCATGTTTTTAAGGTATTTTTACAAAAATAGAGTTCCAGCTATCTTGAGGAGCCCATATTTGAAGAAACGAGACCATCCTAGCAGATAGCCCCTACATTGCATCCCTCTCCTGCCCCAGCCCAGTGTCGTGGGTGATGGTGCTTGTCGCCCAGACGCAGCAGAGGGAGTGAGATTCGCCCCAGCCCGATCTGCCTGCATGGGGATGAGGCTGACTCAGCAGGCTGTTACTCAGAGCCTACACACTCCCAGGAAGGGTCTGTTGGATGATGGCTGCCTCTGGAATGTTCTGACTGTTCAGAGTGTTTTGCCCACTGAAGGCCTTGAGCGCATTGCATCCATTTGCTTGGATAATTCACACTGAGAGTTTGGGGATGGCAAGCACCTGACTTCTCTTGGCAACTGGAGCTTCCGTGACTGATCCCCAAGAGAAACCCCGAACTCCCAGGCTCAGGGGAGCTTCCTTGGTGGACAACACTTCATGTGTGTTGTCAGCAGTTGTCCTGTGTGAGTTCATGGGGGGCTCTGGAAGCAGTGCCTGGTCCCCCCCAGACTTATCCTCTTGCCTTTCCTGGTCTTACTCTCTGTCCTTTTGCTCTAACAAACTGACCGTGAATGTTGTCATCCTAGCTAGTTGTTGAGCCTGAAAGAGGTCTGGGGACCCTCAGTGCAGCCTGTCACATCTGCTCTTCCTAGAAACCCACCAGAGTTTCAGATAGAAACAAGGAGGGTTGGACTTGGGCCGGTCACAGCATTCCTGGTCTCTGTCTTTGGGTGTGAAAACAGGACGATTGGAAGTTGGGATCCCTTTTCCCCTCCAGCCAAGCCTATCTCCACCAGCTCCCACCCTGCCTGGTCCAGAACTGCAAGACACTGTTGGATCTACCGGAGTGGAGTTTACAGTGTTCACCTTAGACACTTGGATTGTTTTCATTTTCATTAATGTAACTACTGCAATGATTGGACCCAGAGTTTCATAGAACAGGTTTCTAGAAGGGGCATTTATCAGATCACAGGGTGTAGGCATTGTACTGTTGGTCAGTCTTCAGATGGCTTTTCAGAAAGGCCATATTTCCAGTCGTAGCTATTTAAAGATGACTGGTGAAATGTGGGATTTTGCTGAACCTGAAGAGGCACCAAAGTCCTCGCAAACCATGCGTTGAACCACATCTGGACCCTGTGGTGCTTCCACCCCCTCCTCACAAGTTCCTCTGGCAAAACAGGCCAGGACAGCTGGACTCTGGGTCTGCGGTAGGGAAGTGCAGAGATCGCCAGTGATGATGGGAAGTCTGTTCCCCCCAAAAAAGATTCCAAGTACTTGGATGTTTGAGTTGTTCCTATGCAAGATGTTATAAGGACTTACCCCTTAACCATCTCTAAAGTCTACATCAACCAAAATTTGTGGTAAATAGGATATAATTTCAAGAAAGAAAACTCTTTGGAGAGTAAAAAGACAGAATATATTATCCCAGAGCAGAATGGGATTTCCCCTGTTGAGAAGGGAGCAGATATAAATTCCTAAACTCATTTATGTACTTGGAGTTTAAGTGGGAAAACACTGAAGCCCCCAGTGATGACTGACCGACCACCCCGCAGATGGCAGCGTGTTCCGTAAGGACACCATTCGTGCAGCATTGCTTCTTAAGGTTTTACTACTGTTCCCAAATTATCGGTGAAATGTTGAGTATTCACCTTACGGGGGAAATAATAGTATGTTTCTATTTTCTTTGGTTGAGATGAAGTTGAGATAAGACTTATACAGTGAACTTACATTTCTATGGAAAAGTCTGACAGGAAATCTATTGCTTCAATTATTCCTGGACACGGTGGTTACTGGGAGGAGCAGATGGGAATGTTGGAATGTGCAGCTGGCAAAGGAAACCTGGGAGAGAGGCTCGCTGGAGGAGAAGGGCTTGTGGACAAAACCCACCTATAGCTGTGTCCTCTGCCTTCAAGTGCTGTTGGAATTGCTTTCTTGGCATTGCAGTGTGATTTCCTGCAGAAACTGTTTAGGTTTTCAGGCTGACGCTCAGGTGCATTTAATGTTTAATATAACTAAAATGTGAAATGTCTGCACATTGTGTTTAGGCTGCATTGTGGGTTGGTAAGCTTTGATGTTGCCTGGGAACCAGGCCACAGAACTAGCACGCAACAAGGAGTCAATTACCTGTTGGCTGTTGTTATTGCCCCTGGTTTCTGTAGAACAGTGGTTCTCAACCTTGGCTACACGTTAGACTCACCTGGGAATCTTTTTAAAATCCTGATTCCTGGGCCTCATCCTCCAGAAATTCTGTTTCTTTGTTACTAATGTCGTGGCCCCACCCCATAACAAAGAAACAGAATTTCTGGAGGACGAGGCCCAGAAATCAGGATTTAAAAAAGATCCCCAGGTGATTCTAATGTGCAGCCAAGGTTGAGAACCACTGCTGTAGAAAGTTAGGTCCCATTTGGTTAACAAGGACGAATGGATGTCTATAGCCTTGGCTCCACCTTCCAGGTCACGTCATTGATTCAGCCCCAGACCCTCCAATCCTCAGGCTCCCCAGCACAGTTGGGTCTCCTGGGCCTGCCTCTCTGAGGTGCGCCATCTGTGCACTCACCACGAGAGTGACTGTTTGCAGCCATATTTAATAGTTTACTTGTACTGCTCTTGTTTAACATTTGTTCCCCAAGCCATTTGCTGACGGCCGGGGTTGATGTGCGCAGTTGGGATGGACTGTGGGTGCAGCCTCATCTCTGAAACCCCTCCAGCTCTGCATAGTCAGCTCAGTTTAGCCCAAACTCACAACTCTTCCCCTGTGGCCACTTAGTCTGCATCAGGTGGAGGGAACAGGGCGGAAGGAAGGGACTCCAGTGGGTGCCTGTGGGTTCTGGCTTCTAGTCAGTGCAGGGTTATCTTCTGTGAAAACCAGTTCAGTGCCTGGAGCCACTAAAGGAGGGAGGGGGCAGCAGGCATGGGTGAAGCAGTGAGAGTCCCCTGTATGTGGAATTTTCCTCTAACAGTTTTCTTTTTATACTGGTTTCCAATAATACTGACTTTTCCTCATACCTTTCTATACATACTCCTGCCTACCTTCCCCCCAAAGGTCTGTGACACCTGCAGACAGGTGCTGTCCAGCACTCATGTGTGTCATGCCCGGGGACAGGTGGCCCCTATTCTCTTGGAAGGACTGGCCTTGTTGGAGTAATGGCCATTGCAGGTGTCTGAAGGGGCAGTCAGAGGTGCGGGCAGAGCATATGGAGTTATCTAAGCGACCTGGATTGGGGCATTCAGTGAAAGCTCCCTGAGGAAGCATTTCACCCAAGGCTTAAAGGGCAGGTAGGAGTTGGGTGGAGGGTGTGCATGCATTTGGAGGGGTACATGTGAGGGTGAGAGAAGCCTGCACAAGCCCTGAGTTGGGTGGGAGTGGCACTTGGGAGGTGCTGCAGTGCCCAGTGTCCCTAAGTGTGAGGCATGGCACCTGCAGACTCTCCAGCCCTCTGCAGCTCAAAGGTCGAGAATGGCTCTCTATGTCCCACCCAGAACTGAAACAGTTGTTTGTGTGTGTGTGGGGGGGGGGGTGTATTTTAAAAGGGGTTCTTTTTATACAAGTCGGGGATGGGCAGAGATACGGCTTTCCCCCCACATTAAAAGCATTTTTTGACTGTTTTTACTGAATGTAAAAATCAATGAAGGTACAAATCTCTTTTTTTTACTTTAGTTCCTGTTTGTTTTCAGGCACCTGGACTCCATTTAATCCTGTGACTGTCAGGTCAATCATATGTAAGTAAGGGCGATGGTGTCATGCCTGTGCAGGCAGACGGGTGGGTTGCTGGTGCAGCGTGTGCTTCCTGCCTTATTCTCCCCCAACTCCAGTCAGGTGTGGGCCTTCATCCCGCCCTTCTGTCCCCTCACTGACTCTTTACTGTCAACTTACATCCGATCGTTCCTTCCAACCCTGAAGATTTCATGAACACACCGGACTGCACGCCCCACACACAGCCCTTATCCTGTGTAACCACTGACTGGAGCCATCCCCAGCTTTTTTATTACATGAAGCGTCACTGAATGTAGTGTACTTCTGACCAAACTGAGAGCATTCAGGATATAGGCTTCCATCATCGCCTTGCCTGAAGAGACACCAAATGACTTATCATTTTCTTTATGGCAATAATTCATACAGTTCTTATATCATATAGTTTAGCCATTTTGCAAATTTTTTAATAGATTTTTTAAAATCCTCACCTGAGGAGTAAGGATATATTTTTTCCCATTGATTTTAGAGAGAATGGAAGGGAGGTGGGAGAGGGAAGAGAGAGAGAAACATCACATCAATTGGTTGCCTCCCACATGGGCCCTGACTGGGGGCAGGGATCGGACCTGCAATCCAGGTATGTGCACTTGACTGGGAATCAAACCTGAGACCATCTGTTGTGCAGGCTAATGCTCTAGCCACTGAACTACACCAGCCAGGGCAGCCATTTTGCAATTTTATGTAAGTGTAGTGGTAGTTCTTTTGTATTTGGACCTGGAATTGGGATGATTATTTTAAAAAATGAAAGGCAGTTCTAAGAAAACATTAAAGCCGGTAGAATCTCTTTCTCATTGAGTGACCTCCACTGGAGGATGTCAGTCCTGGGAAATGGAGGGGGCCCCATGTTCTAGGCCCAGAACTAGGAGCTGGGAGTAAGGGGCACTTAGCTCTGGCAAAATCAGAGCACCCGCAAGTGGCCGTGCTTCTGTAGAACCTACTTTAGTGTAAAGAATCCTTTTTATTGTGGCTCTAATAGTGTGTTTTGCTTCCATTTTCCTTTTCATGGGGGGCTGTGGCTGGGTGACAGGCCCCCTGTCCCACCCCAGCAGAGCTGATCTCACCCCTGACTCAGCCAACGAGCATGATTAGCAGCACTCAGGGCGTTGCCGGCTGAGTCCATGCTGGGGAGGTAACTGCTGCGGCTGTGCTTACTGCTGATTAACATCGGGGTTCCATTCATTGGGCACCACTTACGCTCCTTTTTCCTCAGCGATGTTTGACCGTGAGAACAAGGCTGGTGTGAACTTCAGCGAGTTCACAGGCGTCTGGAAGTACATCACGGACTGGCAGAATGTCTTCCGCACCTACGACAGGGACAACTCGGGGATGATTGACAAGAACGAGCTCAAGCAAGCACTTTCAGGTTTTGGTAATTCACTTACCTTGATTGTGTAGCATGTTTCATTTTGGAACCTAGGTACCATTGAAGTTCTTTTACTTTGTTCAACTTACTGATTTTTTAACCCAGTCTCTGTGAAATTTTTGTTCACATTACACAGACTTATATTTTGTTACTATTGGAGGAGACTTTTATGCATCTTTTAAATGTAGTTTTTCATCCAAAATGAGATAGGGGCTATGCAATCGTTTATCTTTTGTGAATTGAAATGACATCACAAGCACATTGAGAATGTAGCTTTGAAACAATTTAAAGTAAGTGAAAAAGATAGTGTAGGGTAGCATATATTTCATGAAACATCAAAATACACAGAAAGATGATAAAATACCCATAAGTGACGATTCCCTAAGCTCTAGCGCGTATCGAGGGCCTCAGGTAGAACATTAAAATCAGCGCAAGCTCCCATTCTCAAGTGCGTGTCAGGGTGTGCGTGTGCCGTGCCGTGAGGAGTGTGCACATGGTACCTTTCCAGAGTGGGTCAGTGGGCCTCTGATACCCATGCATGGAAGTTAGGATTTTTTTGTAGAGGAAAAACTGAAATGTTGGGGTTTGTTCAAGGTTTGAAGTTACACTGAGATTCTAATTTGAGACAATTTTACTTGGTTTAGTGTTCACTGGGCCCATATTACAAAACCCCTTCTGTTTTTCTTTTTTTAATATATTTTATTGATTTTTTACATAGAGGAAGAGAGAGAGATAGAGAGCTAGAAACATCAATCAGCTGCCCCCATATTTTATTGATTTTTTACAGAGAGGAAGGGAGAGGGGGAGAGGGATACAGAGTTAGAAACATCGATAAGAGAGAAACATTGATTCAGCTGCCTCTTGCACGCCCCCTACTGGGGATGTGCCCACAACCCAGGTACATGCCCTTGACGGACTCGAACCTGGGACCCTTCACTTCGCAGGCTGATGCTCCATCCGCCGAGCCAAACCAGCCAGGGCTCTATGTTTTTCTTAAAAGGCTGCTTATGAATGCCTTCCCGGAGAAAATAAAACTTAGATTATACTGTACTATTTTCTAGGTGTTGCGAGTTTTATAATATGGTTAACATGGTCCTGCCCGCTCCATTTTTCTCTGGCTATGTACACTATGACTATCTTCTCTTCCTATCGCTTTCTTTTCTTGCCTTAGGAGCTCAGACATAGTACCAGGGGGAGGCTGTCTGATGGCACAGGAAGGCTGTTTGGAACTCACTAAGTGTGGTCAGAGTTTGGGCAAGACGTGGCCCTCAGGTCCTTAGAGTTGGAGCTCAGAATGCAACTAATCTTGCTCTGCCCTTACGTGGGAGACTGATGGGGGCCTAGGGAAGCAGCCAGGGGCCTGCAGGCTGGGAGAACTTGGGAGGAGCCCAGATCCTAGGAGTGATTCCTAGCCCTGTGACCTCAGGTATATCACACACACAGAACTGCATTTTCCAACCTGGCGAGGCCCAGAGCCCTCTTTACTCAGTGCTGTGACCACCGGGTCCCCGGCGCTCCTGGTGGGAAGACTCTCAGGCCTCCCTGTCGGGGTCAGACCCAGGGTGTCTGCAGCTGCGGCGGAGCTGGGCAGGCCCAGCAAGACCCCGTCAGGGCTGGCGGCCCTCCTGCTGCCGGCGCTGAGATCCTTCCTGACTGCTGAGTTTTTTCTGGAGAGTAAATACTCTTTCACAGCATTTCTTCAGTTATTCCAAAAAGTTTCTTCCTGTGATTGGTTCTTGATTTTTTTTTTCTAGGGCTTCTCCGAAGCCTTGTTTTCTGTGAAAGGAACATTGTCGTCATTTTCCCATGTTGATTATTTTGGAAGATTTTCTGTTGTAACCTAGGAAATGTGCCACAGAAGCAAAACGTTCCCTTCAGCCTTGACCCCTAACAATATGTATCTTGCCTTGGGTCAGAGGGGGATGATTTTAGCTCAGCAGAGGCTTGAGGGAGTCGGGGTTGAGCACTTCGGTGCCCTCTGACCTTTGTCAGCTCCATCGGGGTGTCCAGGCCAACCTTGGCAACGCTGTGTGACTGACCAGCACACATTCTGGATTTGATAGTCCATTCGTTTAAAAAATTTTATTAGTAGGTGCCATATGCTATGAACAGAGACCTGGAAAGGAGAAGGTGCACGAGGCCCAGCCCTCACTCTCGCCAGCACGGGGTGGAGTTTACTCAGCACTAAGGCCTCGGGGCAGCTCTGCCGGGCCCACCTCCCCTTTCCTCCGCGCGGCCCTGGCGGCCACTGAGCCTGTGCAGTGTTTATTATGAAAACTTTGTGAAAGTGTAATGAACCTTGAACTTATCACTGGTTTCCATCTTTTTGCTGCATTCCCCCCTCCCCCCCCATTTTATGCTAAAGCAGAAAGGTGCTCAGCCACAGGTAAGGATGAGGCAGTAGGCCAGCATTCCAGATTTGAAGGGCGGTCAGTCCCGACCAGGGTGCCAGGCTGTGGGGGCAGGGCCATGAGCAGAGGGCACCTCCTTTTAGTTATTGTTACTTGGGTTTTCACTGGAAGGACCTCGTAGAGAACTGACTGCTCCCAGATTTTGGCCTCTCGGATAAATATTCTTTCCATGGCTTGTACATCATTTATTTTTCTAGTCTGACTTCCTTCACTTTTGTTTTCCCTGCAGTAATATTGAGGACCAGGGACACTGGGAGTTAATGCCAGGGGTGACACAAGTCGCTTCCCTTGTCGTGGATTGTGGAGTTACTGTGTCATTGTTACTATCTTATCTGTCCTTCCAGTCGGGCAGGAGACCATTGCACCCTGAATGGGCACGGCCTTGTCAGTGTGTCCTAAGTTCAGCCCTCACCAGCCTTGGCCGGTCTTACCTGACCATAGGCACAGGTGCTGGTGTAAGATGAGAATCATAGGGCAGGAGGAGTGGCAGCTGTCACTTTCTGACTCATTCGGGCATCCTGTCTTCTACTCAGCTTGTAGGGAGGGAGACCTGGATGTAAGTCACAGGCGTGCAGAGCACACTGGCCACTCAGAAAGGTACCATCACATGCTTGCATGTTTGAATCTTTTCCAGTAAAGTGTTAAGTGTTCATACAGGTAATTAACTGTGAAATTCACTCAGACAGTGGTTGTACATTTCCTTGCAAAGACTGCAGCAAGACTGAAAATCAGTAAAAATATTTTGGCACCTGGATCTTGTCTCCTGACTAAGTAAGAATACCGTGGTCATACAGGTAGTGGGGTGACGAGGGGAGGGCAGTAGGTGTCCTGGTTTAGTTGGCCCCCAGGGGTGTTCCCCATCTTCAGAGCCACCTTCCTCCTGGAGATCTTTTCAAGACACATTTGTGAATTGAAAACGGAATCGGTGACCCTCTGCGTAACATTGGATGAACCTGTAGTGGCTTTGAACTTTGTGAGGCTCCCTTACTCCTTGTAATGTTCAATTTCCTAATCAGTTCATTTCTATGGGGAAATACCTATCACTGAATCTGTTTCCTTAGGTTTACATTTTGTTTAATTGGAAGATGTCAGTGATATTTGATCTTTCAAAACGAGATTCTCTAGTAATGAGTTAACCCAGGGCAGCTGAATTATTCAGAACTTTCATGTCTAGGTTAATAACTGTAATAAAATCTGTTGGTAAAGGGCTTTAAAAAAATCCACCAGAAGATGTTTTTATTGATTTTAGAGAGAGGAAGAGGGAGGGAGAAAGAAAACATCCAAGTGACAGGGAAATATTGATCAGTTGCCTCCCATGAGTGCCTTGACTGGGGATGGAACCCACAACCTTCTGGTGTATGGGATCACGCTCCAGCTAGCTATCGGGCTTTTCAAAATGATCACTGCGCTGCATTCAAGAAACTGGTCCTGGCTGCCCTGTGGGGTGGTCTGTAGAGTAGCCACCTTCCGGAATTCAGATGTGATGCGAACTAGTGAGTTCACGGGATCCTTCAACTCGCAGTGTGGTCCTGCCTCCAGTTACTCCTCCCACTCCAGGGAGGTGCTCTGGCCTGTCAGCCATGGTCACCACTGAGTGACTCGCGTAGCTTACAGTCCGTTGGAATATATGTGTGCTGTGTGTTCCCTCCCCAGCCCAGACCGCTTATCCTGAGCTGTGATAAGAGGCATGTGTCTGAGGCAAGCGGGGCCCTGGAGGAAGCGCCCTCCCCTGGCTCGCTATTTACTCTGATTCCCTTTCAAGGCTACCGGCTCTCTGACCAGTTTCATGACATCCTCATCCGCAAGTTTGACAGACAAGGACGGGGACAGATCGCCTTTGACGACTTCATCCAGGGCTGTATCGTCTTGCAGGTAATTGGGCTCCTCGGAGAGAAAGGGAAGGGCCATTCTGGAATTGGGGATTAGTTCCTGGATCTTCTAAAAGTCTTGTCTTTGGAGAAGTATCTACGTTTTTCTGTTACACTGAGGTGTAAACAGCGGTAGTCTTCCTCCCCCTGCAAATATTATAAAGCAGTCCATTCAGAAGAGGTTGTTTTCCCATAAACAGTGGGTTATTTACTTGTTTACTCGGCTATTTTTGTTGTATTTTCTTTCTGAGGAAATGGGTAAACTTTGCCTGTGGTCTTCCCTCTGTCCTGCCTTCCTGTGTGAGGTGAGCTCTAAGTCCCCAACCTGGCTCCAAGCCCTTGGGTCCTTGTGCGGTGTTGGTGGAAGCCTTGAGTTGCTGACTGCTGCCCGCCCCATTTCCCCACACCTTTCTGAGATGTCCATGCTATGGCCTCACCCTTTCCCTCCAAGAGAACTAAGTGCAGAGCTTAACAAGCTCACCCAGAGACGCCCTCTTAAGACAGAAGAGTCATCGATCCTGTGCTGCTGTTCCCACCCTGTTTCTAGGTCCCTGCTCCAGTTTCTAGGTAGGGATCCGAGTTCCATATATTTTAAGCTTTAGAACTAATAAACTTATATCTTTAAAAATTTTTATTATGACAAATTTCCCCCCAAAATAATAGTAGCAGAGACAGCAGTAAAATGAACCCAGTGTCTCAGATTCAACATTATCACCCATTGCCATTGAATTATTATAACTGTAACCCCCACCCGGCATTACTCTGGAGCAAATTCCACTTAGGGCAAAGAGTGTTTTTCCATTAATATTTCAGTAGAGCCCATCTCTAGAAGATAAGGCATTGCAACTTGAATCTAAGTTGAGGTTCCATCTTGTCAGCTTTAGGATCCACTGAACAGCATGAGGTTTTTTAATGTAATTTGGAATTTTTGAAAACATTCTCACATTTTTAAATTTTCCTGTTCAAATGATAGGTCAGTCAAAAGTGAAGTTTTTCTGATTTCTTTACCAGTGAAGAAGTCTGGTGGGTTGGTCTCTCCAGACCCAGGTTTATTAACTCTTACGCTTCGGATCTCTGGGACAGGAGGGCCTGACCTCGTTCTGCCTCGGGGTCTGTGTGGCTGGGTGACGTGTTAGCAGTTTGAACACCCTAGGAAAGGTGCAGTGTAAAATCTCATTAGGGTCTGTATCTGATTTGCTTTAGAATAAGAACTTTCATTTGAGGTTATGGCCCGTAGTAAATATCTGATCTTTGTATTTCTGCCTAAGCAAAGGTTACTGCATATACTGGTAGCTCAGCAGCTGGGGTGATGCGATGAATCGCCGCCCCTCCCGCAGAAGCTCGCCCAAGCCAGCCACTGCTTCCAGGCAGGCTTCCAGCTATGCCGAGGGCCTCATTGCCAGTTTCTAGTCCCACCCACCCTTCCAGAATGACCCTGAATGCTGGAAAGAGGTGGGACATCGAAAAGAAAACTGCGGGCCATGAGCAAAAAGCCTTGAAAATATATTCCTCCTTCTGCCTCTTTTCGAAAAGGAAAAGGCTTTTCAAAAATTGTTTCTGATAAAATAACATGAAAATTTGTAGAAATCTTGGAAAAATACAATTAAAACATAAAGAAAGATTGCCCAGACCTGCCCGGTAGCTCAGTTGGCTAGAGTGTCATCCTGATATGCCAGAGTTGTGTGTTCGATTCTTTGTCAGGGTACATATAAGAATCGACCAGTGAATGCATAAATAAGTGAAACAACAATTCATGTCTCTTTCTCTCTCTTCCTCTTTTTTTCTTCCTCTCCCTCCCTCCTTTCCTCTATCTAAAATCAATAAATTTAAAAAAATCAAAAGGAGAAAGAAAGATTGCCCATTGTTCTTCAAGCCAGAGTTAAGCCACTGGTGGTTTCTGCCGCTGCCTTGCACACATGCTGGGATGCTCCTGGCTGACACCAAGGGAGCCCTGAGGAGACTGCAGCAGGTGCAGCCCACACGGCCAGGCTCCAGCCTTTCTCCAGGCCCCGCCCTGGGCAGCTGGCTGGGCACCAAGGCCATCATGAACCTGGGCATTGTTTTCTTATCTTGTCATTATAATTCTTCAGAATCTTGTGGTTGCAGCCCTGTCCTCTGGGGCAGCCCTTACTTGAATGTCCCTGCCTTTGAGTACTGGTGGTCTCCTGCTCCTGACCTTACCTAGATGGTCAGGCTTATGAATAAATTAAGGTGGAGCCCTGGGGTGGGGGATCGGCAGACAGGAGGATGTGGGGGGCAGGATGGACCCTGAGCTGGCGAAGGGAGACCTGCCCTTGCATGATGTGCGCTGGCCCTCACCTGCTGGGATCCCCCACATGTGCCTCCCTGTGCTGGTTTTGTCAGGGAATGTGGAAACATGAGTGCTGCTGAAATTGGGTTCCTAAATGTCTTTTTGCCAAATTTATTCTGTTCCTTTAATATCAAGATCTAAATGCCTGTGGTTTTCTTCCTCAGAGACTGACAGATATATTCAGACGCTACGATACAGATCAGGACGGCTGGATTCAGGTGTCATATGAACAGTATCTCTCCATGGTCTTCAGCATCGTATAACACTGGCCTTTTATAAATAGCAACATGACTTACGGAAAAAAAAGACTGAAAATGCCAAATCTCTTACCGTTAGTGAAACGGAGCACAAATGCTGTTGTCTTTATATAGTTAATACTTGGGGACCCAACTGTACATACGTGGATCATCTGATTAACATTTTTGCACTTGTAACAATAGTCATATTGCTATTCAGATACAGACATTTGATTTGGGACTGTTTAATTGTGCCATGAGGTAAGATATGATAATGTTTCAGGTATTCTGCATGTCAAACACTTATCATGTGCTTTTCTATGTAGCTCCAATTCTATAGTGGAAATACTTTTATTAGCCAATAGGAATTTTAAAATAATACAGAACTTGCACAGAAGGCTTTTCATGTGCCTTACTTTTTAAAAGGGGTTTATTGTATTCATTTGAATATGCAAGGTATGCAATAAAGCAATATTCCCCTTGTCCCAGGCCATCTCTGATGTGCTCATGAGGGGAGCTTCAAGGGGCTCTGGACACCTTGAGGTCATTTTCGGTTGTCCACATGACTCACTTGTGGAAATGTGTAGATATAATTGGTCCTCTTACAGGAGTGTGTTTAAATTTCATAGAACAACTTTGAACATAAAAATCCAAATGTAGTTTAGAGGCGTGTTCTTGTCATTTACTAATGATTCACTCTGCCCTGTTATGGTCTGTTTTCAAACATGAAAGTGAAGTGAGTGTGTGATCTGACAGCCCATGACCCTTGGCCCTGCCACTCGTGGAATTGCTTTAGGCTGTTTCTGTCCCTCCCCCCCTTTTTAAAATATGTTTTTATTTTTTTTAGAGAAGAAAGGAGAGAGAGTCAAACATGGTTGTGAGAAACATCGACTGCCTCCTATTGGGGATCGAGCCCATAACCTGGGTATGTGCCCTGACTGGGAATTGAACTGGTGACCTCTGAGTTCATGGGACAGTGCTCAACCAACTGAGCCACACTGGCCAGGGCACTCCCCCCTTTTAAGTGTGCTTCCCAAACCAGAATTTGGGGGACATTGTGTGGATATTTGGGTTCTGGATGGTTGTCAGAAATTGGGTGGCCCTGCATGTCCGTGATTGGGCACCTTGCTGGTTGGGATATGGGTACCTGGGAAGGGTGTGGGTTTCTTATCTGTGGTGCTTGATGGAGGGATGAGGACATCACTGATGAGAATCTGTGGGGCTCGGAGACTGGCCTTGTGAGCTCAGTGCAGGAAGGTCCACAGGGGTCTCTGAGGATTTCGACTCCTTTTCACATTGGGTGCCTCTCTGGATGTTGACACTTGTGACACAGCACCAGCACATGACCCCAAGTTCTACTTTAGTGATGTCAGTCCCCTGACCCCGAACCCCAAATTTGCAACAAGTGGCCTTCAGACCCTAGAACCCACTTGGTAAACCCCACACATCCAGGTGCTCAGGTGACTTCTTGGGTTCTCACAAACACGCTGGATTCAACATCTCCATCTAATCCCATACCCACACCCCCTGCACCAGTAACTTCTGCTGCTCCCCTGTCCCCATTCCCGTGCCACACACTAGGGCCACTGGAGGTGCCTGTGGGTGACACCACTCCCATTGCTCCCTTGATCCCAGGCCTGTAAAGACCCCAAGCTTAGAGTGAGGGCAGCAGGCATCACCACTAGCCTAGCCTCACTGTGCTCTGTGCTTCATCCTCCAAATGCTGGCTTTCCCAGTCCACCCACTTCCCCCACCTGCCCTGCACCTGCGGCGCCTTGGGCCCAGGATTCAGCCTGACTCCCACGAAACTGGAGACTCCTCGAGCTGGTCTTGGAGCAATGGCAGGTCAAGGCCTTGGTAAGACACCTTCCCCCAGGTACACGGGCTCAATCTTCAAGGATCACTCGATGCCATACAGGCTGGATGCTGAGAGACCTGTTCTCACACTGTGCCAGCCACTGAGGAGATTGTATGATGTCAAACGGGATTAGGGAAGGGGAGACGGACACTTACAAAGAAAAGATCGAATTGTAGGTGAGTTAAGGTCTCATCTTCCCTCACTGGCAGAGAGAGCAGTTCCTGTATGAAAATAGTGTGGGCTTCTCTGCAACTCATAGGTGTATGGTGCAGATTCATGTAAGGTACAGATGTGCTCAGGTGTATGATGCAGATACTGAGGTAAGGTACAGGTGTGTGGTGAAGATACTATCAGGTATGTTACAGATGTGCTCAGGTTTGTGATACCAATACTCAGGCATGGTACAGATGTGCTCAGGTGCTGATACTCAGGTAAGGTACAGGTATGTGGTGGTACTGTCAGGTAAGATACAGATGTGCCCAGGTTTGTGGTAGATAGTCTCGGGTATTTGATACTGATGCTCAGGTGTGTGGCACAGACTTCTCAGTGGGAGTGAAAGGTTTTGGCCAGTGGAGGCACAGTGAGGAGTCGGGGACACGGGGAACGTGGGGGATGGTTAATGGGGAGGTGTTGGGCAGCCACTGAGGGCTAGGGTGGGGGGACACAAGCCTGCTCTCTGGAAGGCCAGAGAGGCAGGTCAGCTTTGGGAGGAGGGAAGAGGTCCTGCTGGAGGGCAGGGCTACCTGAAGGGTGGTGAGCAAGCCCTGGCAGACTGGCCGGAAGGTAAAGGACACCAAACGCAGCCCACAAACAGTCTGCCACATGGGGGCAGTGCAGTCACACCTCGGACTCCAGCCACCTCGTTCTGACTTGCCATCATGGAATTTACAGCAGCTACTGAGAAACCAGGGACAGTGGTGGGGAGGCAACAGCACCCTGGTAGAAACAGACTTTTGCAGCGTTACATTCATCGCGTTGCTTTGCTCAAGCTGCACCTGATCCACTTGGAGTCAGGTGTTGGGAGAGAGGAAGCACTGTCGGCAGCTGGCCTGGCCTGGCAGTCACGGAGGCTAAGCCAGGCAGGCTGCTGAGGCCACCACTGTACCCAGTCCCTGTCCCCTGGTCCCCTTCCCTTTCCCCGTAACTCCTCCCTCATCCTTCACCCCACCCCCGTCGCCTATCCTCAGTCCCAAGTCCCCTATCCATCCCCGTCCCCTGGTCACGTGCTCTCATGACTTCCTCTCTTGCCATTTGAACATGTGTTGACCCAGCTCCTAATTTGACTTTCGGATAAATGAACAATCTGCCCAAGACTCCTGTGGTTCCCCCTCAGTTCTTCATGAAGAGCAGTCAGGACACCGGACCTTGGCCACCACCCAGTTCACCACTGAAGTCACTTTTGCCAGCTGGGAGAGTCACCTGTCCCAGTCTAGGTGAATCTGGCCAAGGAGGGGAGCAGGTCGGGGT